GCTGACACAGACCGACAGATACACACAGATGCACAGAGATACACAAAGGCAGACACAGATATACATGCAGAGACACATACAAAGACACATTCAGGTACACATGTAGATACAGGTACACACAGATACAGACACAGGTAACACGCTGACACAGACACACACAGATGCATAGAGATACACACACAGATGCATAGAGATACACAAAGGCAGACACACAGATACACATGCAGAGACACATACAAAGATACATTCAGGTACACATGTAGATACAGGTACACACAGATACATACAGACACAGGTAACACGCTGACACAGATAGATACACACATGCATAGAGATACACAAAGGCAGACACACAGATACACATGCAGAGACACAAAGACGCATTCAGGTACACATGTAGATATGGGTGCACAAAGACACGCAGATACAGACACAGGTAACACACTGATACACGGATACATGCAGACAGATACACATAGATGCATATAGACACACATGCAGAGACAGACACACAAAGACACATTCAGGTACACATGTAGATACCGGTGCACAAGGACACACATACATACAGATACAGGTAACACACTGACACAGACAGACAGATACACACAGATGCATAGAGATACACAAAGGCAGACACACATGCAGAGACAATTACATTCAGGTACACACGTAGATACAGGTGCACAAAGACACAAGAAGGTGCACACAGATAACACAGATACACAAAGACCCACACACACAGGTACACATATAGATATACATACAGGCCCACAAAGAGACACACACATGCATACAGGTACACACAGATACATACCAGACACACACAGATGGAGACACATACAGATACACAAAGAGACACACATTCAGGTACATGTAGATACATATAGTCACACAAAGATACACACAGACACACGTGCAGGTACACACATAGACAGACATACAGGCTCACAAAGACAGATACACATGCATTCACAGAGAGACAAGTACACGCACAAAGTATACAGAGACACAGATACACAAAAACAGACACACAGGTACACGCAGACACACAGGTATACATACAGGCACACAAAGGGCACACAGAGGCACACATTCACATACAGATACACCCAAACACATACCCACACATACATATCCTCGCTACATTACACAGAGACACAAGGACACACACACACACATAAATACACAGAGACAAACAGACGTGGACACACACCCACTCTCACAGACACACAGAGATAGACACACAGGGACACTGTTGCAATGGATCACTTTTATGGGGCCTTTCTAGCTCCATGTAAAGATTTGTTGGGATGACGTAGAGAAGGGATCTGCGGTCCACCAAGGCTATCAGACAGCTTCCTGATGCTACATACAAGCTGCATGGCACCCTGTGGGGGGACCATGCCATAAGGTGTATGGAACCCTAAGCAGGAAGTTGGTCAGTTTTGCCATCCCACTAGGCTTAAAACAGCCAATCCCAGAGCACAAGGTGGGAGGAGGAACCACTTCCATCAAGAAGAAATGAGAGCAGAGTGTATCTTTTGGACTCAGAACCTCCCAGACCCAGGAGACAGAGAGCAAGCTATAACCCTGTGTTCAGACAGGAAAGGCGAGAAGCAGGAGTGGAGAAACCATGGCAGCAAAAGTAACGGAACCAGGGGATGGGCTGGGGGCTCCCTGGCCCACGGAGCAGGAGACTGGAGCACTGGCCGGTGAGCCGGCAGCTGTGTGACACTCGCCCAAGCTGGGCCGAGGGTGGGCCAAGGATCCGAGCGGCCTCTGCAGCACAGCTGAGCAGACACTGTCCTGACCAGCACTGGAACCCGATTCGTTCTGGATCCTCAACTGTAACCTGGCACTTCCCTAGTAGGCCCATAACCGCTGAGTACTGTCCCTGAGTTGTGTGGCCATTGCAACGAATCACGGAACCCAGAAGGGAAGCAGAGAGTGCTGTGGAGGGACAACTGGCGTCAGAGTTGGTATGAAGTGTGCAGAGAAGAGGCGTGGCCTCCACGTCACAGGAATCAGTCTTGGC